CTCTTTCTACAACCTAAATTAAGCTAAAAAGTGCTTTATGTTTTCCAGGCACTAGCTTTCCTTATATCAAGTCTCCCCCTTCTTTCTTTTACCTTTACAAATTCTTTTACTATGTGACTCCACTTTGATCAAGAGTTCTGGCCCTTTTTAACTTGTTGTCTGATCTTGTGTCTTTAGCGAGCTTTGTTTCTGTTTTCGTAAACTCAGTTATAATACAGTTATAAATACAGTTATATCCACATAACCACACCTATGATTTGCGAAAGCCAATACATTTATGTGTTTATCACATGCCTTTCTAAGCTAACTGCATAAGTACTACTTGTAAAAGCTATTTGCCCATGCAAAGTGAAATAATCACAATGCCATGCTCATTTACACACAAAATGATTTTGTGTCCCATTGTGCTCACAGTTGTTCAGCTCTCTAGGGGTGATTAAACTAGCTATGCTGCTACAGCTTGAGATGATTTCACTGAATCATTTCACCGCGAAGTTGCTTCTTTGCTAAGCTGTTATTTTAACCATAAAATGTAAACAGAAGGGAGCCGTAAGAGCTCCATTCAGCTCCGTGCCCAGGGCTATAACAGTAGGGCAGAAAATGCTGAAATACTGCAGAATTTTCCAGGGTGTTGCCTTTCTTGCTCTAAAGCCTTCAGGAATACTGTTCATTTAATACACACTCTAGATGATACATTTCAGATCCTACTAAAAGAAAGGCTTCAAAAGTGTAAGAACTTTTGGGCGGAGAAAGCTTTCCCACCTCTGCACACAGCTCGGGGCCATGGTAACCAATAGTGCTCTTGATGTTGGGAAAATACAGCAGGAATAAACCGCACAGAGCAGACATATAGGGAGACAAGGGAGGTGAAAGGTTGCAGAGAAGAAATCAGCAACAGACTGGAAGGGGCAGTGAAAAAAAGGGAGAATGAAAAAGGAGGCGGCTTGGAAGGAGGAACAAAGTTAAATCTAGGAGCAGGCACTTAAAAGACTACAGATGGGAAGCAAGACGAATTAAGGATGTAAAAATGCTTTTTTTTTCTTAATTGTTGCCAGGATAAAAATCAACTGAAGTTAATGCTATTATTCACTCATGCTGTTTGATTCTTTCGCACATTTAGGACATGAGCTAAGAATGGCAGGTTTAAGGACCTGCCATGAGGCATCTTGTTCCTAATATAAGGAAAGTGAGTGCCTGGAAAACATAGGGTTAAGATACTTTTAACTTAGCTTAGGTCTAAGATAGAGAACAATGTTTGTGTTGTAAGTCTGTGGTGTAATAACAGAATTTAGTAGTCTTACTAACAAGAGTAAATTATTTCTTTCCATCCTTCTAATGAGTGACCATACTTCTAATTATCAGTTAGATTGGAGACAGTGACTCCCGAACATCTTCTAGCTTTGGATACTCCTTGTCTGCTCTATCCTGTTCTGCTTGCAATAAATTTTGTACAAAGCTCACACTGTTCTAAATCTTTGCCAGCTATCAGAAACTTGCAGATAGGGTTGGTTTCAGCTAATTTGTGATTACTAGAGCATTCAACTGTGCCAAAGGTGAAAAGTGCACCTTGAGGAAGACTGCTTACTTCATCTTGAAGACCCCTGCCCACATGAGGGAGACTATTCATCTTGAAGACCATCGGAGGGCAGTGCGCAAGCGCCAAAAGGGTGCTTATGATAATGAGTACCTAAACTAATTGTAATAACCCCGCCAAACTCTCGGGAACCTAATGAATATGAATGCTTGTGTGTAATAAATATCTGCTTGGTTAACCCCTCGGTGTGCAAGTTAGGAGGAGTGATTCCCCTTGCACCCAGCGCCGTAATAAACGTACCTGCTTTATAACTCCCTCTCAGTTGTAGAGTCTGATTCCGTGCTTCACTCCGGCTCACGCTCCCCGGGACTGTTCCCAGAACGGAGTCGGGAGGGGGGAAGGGGGGGAAGCCGTTCTCCCCCCTCTTCCCCCTCCCCCCGCAACCTCCATTCCCATGCCAGGAGGCCCAGGAGAGCTCTGGGGTAGGCTCCCCCAGCAGCCCAGCACCCTGGGGTGGTTACCGGCTGGAGTCACCCAGCATGAGAGCCGGCGCGACCGGAGGGACACGGCGGCTGCGAACCCGGCAATTACCTTTGTCTCTACACAGCCAGGGATGGCGACCGCTCGGGTCTGCCTCCGGAGACACCCAGAGACAACCGCTCACCCCGTGAACCGGGCCTACAAACAAAGCAGGGCGAAGGGGAGGTTGCAAACCGTGGACCTCCACGGCTCCAACGCTGAAAGTCCGTAAATATTTGTGCACGCACCTCCCCGCTGCTTCCCTCAACACCAGACCGAGTGACAGAGGAGATGGTGCCCAAAACTGTTACAGTGGAGGTGGGGGAGCTCCCTCGGGGAAAAAAAAAAAAAAAAAAGGCTTTACCTCCCCTTCCCAACCCGCCTATCTCCAGCCGATTTACTCCAAGTTTCACGTCACCCAAACGCTTTTCCAGGCGTGATGTCCGGGGAAATCACCAGCAAGCAACGCACTCAGTCATTCAACTTCTGCCTTTCTCTTTTAAAACACATTGTGTGCCCAAAGGTAAAATTCAAGAACAAAAAAAAAAAAAACAAAACAAAAAACAAAACGGAAACAAATCCCACAACATGGCGTCATTTACTTATTCCCACATAACAAGACAGATGTCTTAGATGAATGCAAGAAAAAAAAAAAAAGGAAAAAGAAAAACAAAACAAAAAAGCCAGCCCCGAATCCCCTCTCCTTCACATTTTCCGCGCAGCCACTGGTGGTGAGCATTAGCCAGGCTAATATATTAATTTTGCAGAAGTGTGCCACATCGCATGCAGGAGCAGAAATGCAAACTATAGCCTAGAGTGGTTTGAAGTCTACCCCAAAACAAGCCTTCCACTCTTACTGGCGCCAGTTTCTTTCACAGCCCGCCCGTATTTTCCATACGCGCCGCTCCCCATTGTCGCCTGCCTTCCCTTTGTGCCGAGCCTCCACGCCGCCAGCCCCCGCGCCCCACTTTGCGCTGCCCCGCGCACCGCCCGCCCGACCCCCGCGGCTCCGCTGTACCATGCAAGAGCGCGGAGAGAGCCGCACTACCTCCGCCGCGCTGGAGCTTGGATGTTGTCTTCAGAGCCGGGGCGGCAACGTGGGCACTCCGGGCCGCGGGGCTCCGCAGACGCGGCCCATACTGGAGCGGAGAAAACCCAAACATACACACAGAGACAAGGCACTATCAAAGCTGGGCGGCTGCAAATGGGTCCTATAGTTTAAAAAAAAACACACAAAAAAAAAAAACACAAAAAAGCACAAACAACAAACCACCCCTCCGCCGCTTCTCCTCCAGAGCCAAGAGCCAAGTTAGTTTGAAGAGGCACTTTAAAAAAAAAAAAAAAAAAAAGGAGAAGGAAACGGGAGAAAGCGATAGCGCGGTACGATGCAATGCGATGCACGGCATGGCGGAGCCGCCGTCGTATTACTTACCTTGAGCACGGAAAATATGCGTGAGACCCCGTTTGGCTTTGAGCTCTGTTGAGTTTGCGTGTGATGGGCTCAGCTTTTTGCTTTTATTACTATCTTTGCTCCGCAGATAGTGCTATGATTCTTATTATTGTTTTTAAAGCTCCACTCTCTATCCCCCCCCCGCCGTTTCTGCTTTTTGATGCTTCCTTTTCTATTTATTTTGTGTGTGTGTCTGTGGATGTGTGTGTGAGAGGAAAATAAAAGCCTTAAAATGAAACTGCAGAGGCTGTTATGAGAAGAAAAACAATAATCCCGTCTCTAAATAACAGAGGGAAGGGAGGAGGAAAGAAAGCGAATTCTTGCTCAGGGCTTTGTAAATGCCTGCAGGGCAGAGGATTAGGCTACAATCAGCTCAGCCCTTTGCTTTCGCCCTAGCTAATTTTGCGATCAAAATTGGATATTTTCCCCCCCCCTTTGGTGGAGGGTCTCCAGATTTTTTCACTCTCTCTTCCCCCCCCCCCCCCCCCCCCAAATAAAATAAAACACAACCCTTGAAAATGAGATTAAGCTCCTAGGCCCCGCCATCCGCAGAGCCCCTCCATAACAGCGCAGGGCGGTCGGGGCGGGAGTCCGGCGGGGCCCGACCCGACCCTGCCAGGGGATAATGGTTCGGTGTTGGGGAGGATCAGGCCACTGTCATATCCTTCAAGAGACTTACAGAAAAGAAAGAGGAAAAGGGGGGATAGGGAGGTGGAAGGGGGGGAAGTTGATATTAATCACTGTCATTGTCTGATGTAGTGTTTCCCCAGGCGTTTTCAACTAGGCATAAATTTTCAGCTTCCAAATAAGTAACACAGGGCACGTTACTCACATTTCTTGACTCCTCTTACAATTAAGGTAGCACCCACTCTGCACTTGTTGATAAAGTAGATCAAGTTAAAAAATAAATATTTTTTAAAATAGTCCCGACCCTCCTTTACTTAATCCTAGTCCATGTAATAAATATTACACCTGTGAACAAAGGTGCATTACACCAGGAACCAGGGTAGGAAATCTTCCTTAAATGCCACAGATGTAGGTCACCATTCAAATTGCAATCATACTATTAATATAGATGATATCGTAGTTCAGTGATGGCCCGTTCCTAAAGGGAAAGGATGGTATTGGTTATGTGGAAAAAATGCTTCTAAGACTCTACCCCCAACTGGAAGGGGGCATGCACCTTAGGTGCTGTAATACGCAATTTTAACCAGCCTGTCTAAAGCGGTATTACAAAACCGAATGGCTCTAGATATGTTATTGGCATCACAAGGAGGGGTTTGTACCATAACCAATGAAAGCTGTTGTTCCTATATAGACCGAAGTGGCAGAATCGAAACAGATCTGGAGGAAATTTGTGGTCTATATAGGAACAACAGCTTTCATTGGTTATGGTACAAACCCCTCCTTGTGATGCCAATAACATATCTAGAGCCATTCGGTTTTGTAATACCGCTTTAGACAGGCTGGTTAAAATTGCGTATTACAGCACCTAAGGTGCATGCCCCCTTCCAGTTGGGGGTAGAGTCTTAGAAGCATTTTTTCCACATAACCAATACCATCCTTTCCCTTTAGGAACGGGCCATCACTGAACTACGATATCATCTATATTAATAGTATGATTGCAATTTGAATGGTGACCTACATCTGTGGCATTTAAGGAAGATTTCCTACCCTGGTTCCTGGTGTAATGCACCTTTGTTCACAGGTGTAATATTTATTACATGGACTAGGATTAAGTAAAGGAGGGTCGGGACTATTTTAAAAAATATTTATTTTTTAACTTGATCTACTTTATCAACAAGTGCAGAGTGGGTGCTACCTTAATTGTAAGAGGAGTCAAGAAATGTGAGTAACGTGCCCTGTGTTACTTATTTGGAAGCTGAAAATTTATGCCTAGTTGAAAACGCCTGGGGAAACACTACATCAGACAATGACAGTGATTAATATCAACTTCCCCCCCTTCCACCTCCCTATCCCCCCTTTTCCTCTTTCTTTTCTGTAAGTCTCTTGAAGGATATGACAGTGGCCTGATCCTCCCCAACACCGAACCATTATCCCCTGGCAGGGTCGGGTCGGGCCCCGCCGGACTCCCGCCCCGACCGCCCTGCGCTGTTATGGAGGGGCTCTGCGGATGGCGGGGCCTAGGAGCTTAATCTCATTTTCAAGGGTTGTGTTTTATTTTATTTTGGGGGGGGGGGGGGGGGGGGAAGAGAGAGTGAAAAAATCTGGAGACCCTCCACCAAAGGGGGGGGGAAAATATCCAATTTTGATCGCAAAATTAGCTAGGGCGAAAGCAAAGGGCTGAGCTGATTGTAGCCTAATCCTCTGCCCTGCAGGCATTTACAAAGCCCTGAGCAAGAATTCGCTTTCTTTCCTCCTCCCTTCCCTCTGTTATTTAGAGACGGGATTATTGTTTTTCTTCTCATAACAGCCTCTGCAGTTTCATTTTAAGGCTTTTATTTTCCTCTCACACACACATCCACAGACACACACACAAAATAAATAGAAAAGGAAGCATCAAAAAGCAGAAACGGCGGGGGGGGGATAGAGAGTGGAGCTTTAAAAACAATAATAAGAATCATAGCACTATCTGCGGAGCAAAGATAGTAATAAAAGCAAAAAGCTGAGCCCATCACACGCAAACTCAACAGAGCTCAAAGCCAAACGGGGTCTCACGCATATTTTCCGTGCTCAAGGTAAGTAATACGACGGCGGCTCCGCCATGCCGTGCATCGCATTGCATCGTACCGCGCTATCGCTTTCTCCCGTTTCCTTCTCCTTTTTTTTTTTTTTTTTTTTAAAGTGCCTCTTCAAACTAACTTGGCTCTTGGCTCTGGAGGAGAAGCGGCGGAGGGGTGGTTTGTTGTTTGTGCTTTTTTGTGTTTTTTTTTTTTGTGTGTTTTTTTTTAAACTATAGGACCCATTTGCAGCCGCCCAGCTTTGATAGTGCCTTGTCTCTGTGTGTATGTTTGGGTTTTCTCCGCTCCAGTATGGGCCGCGTCTGCGGAGCCCCGCGGCCCGGAGTGCCCACGTTGCCGCCCCGGCTCTGAAGACAACATCCAAGCTCCAGCGCGGCGGAGGTAGTGCGGCTCTCTCCGCGCTCTTGCATGGTACAGCGGAGCCGCGGGGTCGGGCGGGCGGTGCGCGGGGCAGCGCAAAGTGGGGCGCGGGGGCTGGCGGCGTGGAGGGCTCGGCACAAAGGGAAGGCAGGCGACAATGGGGGGAGCGGCGCGTATGGAAAATACGGGCGGGCTGTGAAAGAAACTGGCGCCAGTAGAGTGGAAGGCTTGTTTTGGGGTAGACTTCAAACCACTCTAGGCTATAGTTTGCATTTCTGCTCCTGCATGCGATGTGGCACACTTCTGCAAAATTATATATTAGCCTGGCTAATGCTCACCACCAGGGCTGCGCGGAAAATGTGAAGGAGAGGGGATTCGGGGCTGGCTTTTTTGTTTTGTTTTTCCTTTTTCCTTTTTTTTTTTTTTCTTGCATTCATCTAAGACATCTGTCTTGTTATGTGGAATAAGTAAATGGACGCCATGTTGTGGGATTTGTTTCCGTTTTGTTTTTTGTTTTGTTTTTTTTTTTTTTTGTTCTTGAATTTTACCTTGGGCACACAATGTGTTTTAAAAGGAGAAAGGCAGAAGTTGAATGACTGAGTGCGTTGCTTGCTGGTGATTTCCCCGGACATCACGCCTGGAAAAGCGTTTGGGTGACGTGAAACTTGGAGTAAATCGGCTGGAGATAGGCGGGTTGGGAAGGGGAGGTAAAGCCTTTTTTTTTTTTTTTTTTTCCCCGAGGGAGCTCCCCCACCTCCACTGTAACCAGTTTTGGGCACCATCTCCTCTGTCACTCGGTCTGGTGTTGAGGGAAGCAGCGGGAGGTGCGTGCACAAATATTTAACGGACTTTCAGCGTTGGAGCCGTGGAGGTCCACGGTTTGCAACCTCCCCCTTCGCCCTGCTTTGTTTGTAGGCCCGGTTCACGGGGTGAGCGGTTGTCTCTGGGTGTCTCCGGAGGCAGACCCGAGCGGTCGCCATCCCTGGCTGTGTAGAGACAAAGGTAATTGCCGGGTTCGCAGCCGCCGTGTCCCTCCGGTCGCGCCGGCTCTCATGCTGGGTGACTCCAGCCGGTAACCAACCCCAGGGTGCTGGGTGCTGGGGGAGCCTACCCCAGAGCTCTCCTGGGCCTCCTGGCACTGGAATGGAGGTTGCGGGGGGAGGGGGAAGAGGGGGAGAACGGCTTCCCCCCCTTCCCCCCTCCCGACTCCGTTCTGGGAACAGTCCCGGGGAGCGTGAGCCGGAGTGAAGCACGGAATCAGACTCTACAACTGAGAGAGGAGTTATAAAGCAGGTACGTTTATTACGGCGCTGGGTGCAAGGGGAATCACTCCTCCTAACTTGCACACCGAGGGGTTAACCAAGCAGATATTTATTACACACAAGCATTCATATTCATTAGGTTCCCGAGAGTTTGGCGGGGGTTATTACAATTAGTTTAGGTACTCATTATCATAAGCACCCTTTTGGCGCTTGCGCACTGCCCTCCGATGGTCTTCAAGATGAATAGTCTCCCTCATGTGGGCAGGGGTCTTCAAGATGAAGTAAGCAGTCTTCCTCAAGGTGCACTTTTCACCTTTGGCACAGTTGAATGCTCTAGTAATCACAAAATTAGCTGAAAACCAACCCTATCTGCAAGTTTCTGATAGCTGGCAAAGATTTAGAACAGTGTGAGCTTTGTACAAAATTTATTGCAAGCAGAACAGGATAGAGCAGACAAGGAGTATCCAAAGCTAGAAGATGTTCGGGAGTCACTGTCTCCAATCTAACTGATAATTAGAAGTATGGTCACTCATTAGAAGGATGGAAAGAAATAATTTACTCTTGTTAGTAAGACTACTAAATTCTGTTATTACACCACAGACTTACAACACAAACATTGTTCTCTATCTTAGACCTAAGCTAAGTTAAAGTATCTTAACCCTATGTTTTCCAGGCACTCACTTTCCTTATATTAGGAACAAGATGCCTCATGGCAGGTCCTTAAACCTGCCATTCTTAGCTCATGTCCTAAATGTGCGAAAGAATCAAACAGCATGAGTGAATAATAGCATTAACTTCAGTTGATTTTTATCCTGGCAACAAATTAAGAAAAAAAAAAGCATTTTTACATCCTTAATTCGTCTTGCTTCCCATCTTGTAGTCTTTTAAGTGCCTGCTCCTAGATTTAACTTTGTTCCTCCTTCCAAGCCGCCTCCTTTTTCATTCTCCTTTTTTTCACTGCCCCTTCCAGTCTGTTGCTGATTTCTTCTCTGCAACCTTTCACCTCCCTTGTCTCCCTATATGTCTGCTCTGTGCGGTTTATTCCTGCTGTATTTTCCCAACATCAAGAGCACTATTGGTTACCATGGCCCGAGCTGTGTGCAGAGGTGGGAAAGCTTTCTCCGCCCAAAAGTTCTTACACTTTTGAAGCCTTTCTTTTAGTAGGATCTGAAATGTATCATCTAGAGTGTGTATTAAATGAACAGTATTCCTGAAGGCTTTAGAGCAAGAAAGGCAACACCCTGGAAAATTCTGCAGTATTTCAGCATTTTCTGCCCCTACTGTTATAGCCCTGGGCACGGAGCTGAATGGAGCTCTTACGGCTCCCTTCTGTTTACATTTTATGGTTAAAATAACAGCTTAGCAAAGAAGCAACTTCGCGGTGAAATGATTCAGTGAAATCATCTCAAGCTGTAGCAGCATAGCTAGTTTTAATCACCCCTAGAGAGCTGAACAACTGTGAGCACAATGGGACACAAAATCATTTTGTGTGTAAATGAGCATGGCATTGTGATTATTTCACTTTGCATGGGGCAAATAGCTTTTACAAGTAGTACTTATGCAGTTAGCTTAGAAAGGCATGTGATAAACACATAAATGTATTGGCTTTCGCAAATCCATAGGTGTGGTTATGTGGATATAACTGTATTTATAACTGTATTATACTGAGTTTACGAAAACAGAAACAAAGCTCGCTAAAGACACAAGATCAGACAACCAAGTTAAAAAGGGCCAGAACTCTTGATCAAAGTGGAGTCACATAGTAAAAGAATTTGTAAAGGTAAAAGAAAGAAGGGGAGACTTGATATAAGGAAAGCTAGTGCCTGGAAAACATAAAGCACTTTTTTTAGCTTAATTTAGTAGTTGTAGAAAGAGAACAATATTTATGTTGTTAAGTCTGTGGAATTTTGTGGCCCCACTAAACATGAGTTAATTGTTTCACACTAGTCTTCTAAAGTATCTTTAGTTTTAAAGAAAAATGTTGTGTTGTAAGTCTGTGGTGAGATAACAGGATTTAGTGGCCCCACTAAACAAAAATGAGTTATTTCACACCATCCTTCTACTTATTCAGTTAGTTTAGAGACGGAGCCTCCCAAACACTGCTAGCTTGGGATACTCCTTGTACTCCTCCTGCCCATCCTGCAATATAATTTTGCAGGAAGGTCACACTGTTCTAAATCTTTGGTAGTTATCAGAAGAATTACAGATATGGCTGGTTTCAGCTAGTTGTGTGATTACTGGGGCATCTAACTGTGCCAAAGGTGAAAAGTACACTGTGAAGAAGACTGCTTACTTCATCCTCAAGACCCCTGCCTGCAATCACTGGAGAGC